GGGTTGGATCAAGCGGTTCATACCTTGTCCAGAATTCGCTGAACGTGCTCATCCATGCCTGCCGCTGCGAGATATTGTGTCCACCCAACATCATGTGTCCCCCCTGAGATAGCTCATAGCTTGCCCAAGACGAGAAATGCAAAACTGGCCACGACTCAACCTTCTCCTTCCTAGATCGGACATCACGAACCGGTAGATCAATCCTGGAGATCTCCACTTGAAGAACTGTTTTCTTCAAGAAGTTGTGAAGATTGCGGCAAGTGTTGCCACTTTTGCCCCGGGCGCATCTTGCCAGCCTCTCCAAGATTGTGTCCCGACCACCTGTGGGGAGCTTGTTTTTATCAGGCTTGGATTATTATGTAGGTTCGGGAGGTAAAATCCGGGACCACTAGCTATTCGAATTGCTTGGGAGGAATTTTGACAGACAGTCAACTAATGGGGCCTGCTTTTCTGAGCGTTTTGGCAGCTTTCTTGGCAATGCGACCCACCCGCGCACAAGAATCAGCCTTAGCTTCGACCCGCAGGAAAAATAATATTATTATAAAATGACCCTGATTGAGTAATAGCCCCAAAGCCTCAACGAAAACCAGGAAACTCCACCACTGATACCAGCCAACAACTCTGCTGCCAGGTCCTCATCGGAAGAAGATGGTTCTGCTGGTTTGCCTGGAGAGGCAATGGGCTTGAGAATAGTTGTCAAGGGGTGGGTTTTAGTTTATTATAGGGTTAGGGGTTTGTAGGGCTCATATTTCAGCCAAGATACCATAGGCCCATTCATCAGACCCTGCGTTAGGAAAGGACAGTACGCTTGGGGCCTAAATCAATCAATCATGCTATATAGGGATGCAGATTGAGTCGCACAGCATTTTCGCACATCCTGCACGAAAAGCGGTTTCCAGTAGCTAGCTTGTGCGGCCATGTACCACAGCAGTAGCTACAGAACATCATCGGCTCAGCAGCCGCAAACTTCCGAGTCACCAAGGAGACAACCACACTCTTCTACATGCTATAATTCAATTGCTACTTCAAGTAACCCGTTGGAATGCAGAGCTCGAATCATCAAAATCATGATGGATCCATATATGATTAATGGATCAGCTTTTGCGCGCCCGCTTGGGCTTGGAGGGGGCAGCTTTTGGCGCCTTTCTCTTATTCTTCGCTGGGGAAGATGGCGCATCATTTCCACCCTTCCCACCCTTCCCACCTTTACCGTTTCCTCCCTTTAGGGAAGCTTTCGCTTTGGGTACGGGTAGAGCTTGAGTAGCTCCACTCGAGCCTTTTTTGATACTCCTGATGCACAAGCTAACACATCAGCTCATGCGATCATTAAGTGTACAGGCAGGCAACATTTCCGCGAATAATCCACACCAAGGAGCTTGGATCTCATAACATAATTGTTGAGGGCCAGGTCCTCCTTTGTAGCTTCGACATACTTCTTCATGATTTCAGCATCAATCCTCAGTATCATGGCTTACGAAGTCGCATACTCTACAAGATCATAAGGGCAGCAAGATTCTTCACTAGCTCATCCGGGTTCTTGTGCGTAGCGGCGGAGGACTGCAGCTTCACCAAATCATCATAGCAGGTGCTGAGGCGGCTTAGAGATTCTCCAATGGAATCTGCAATCCTGAGATAGTGAGGCCTACGCATTAGAAAACTCAAGATGGAGGGATTGAGGGTTCAATACCGCTTGAGCTAAGTAGCTTGTCAGCCTTCGTCGACTTGGCCTTCCGCAATTTCTCCTGGCCGGATGTACAAACCACTGAAACCCCTAGGCCCTAGCCCTCTATATAACAATATTAACCCACCCATAAGAACTGTACGAGGGTTTCCCCTAGTTGTGATTATAGCAACATAATGGGTATTTATATAGGTTTCTTTACAGGAGGGAACCCTTACATACACCAAGAAGCATCATGATGAAACCCGGCTAGCCCTATAGTCCTTCGTGTCGTCTCCCTGGTCAAGCTTCCGGCCCAACACTTGCAAAAAGGCGGGGAGGATGGTAGCTGGACTCACGTTTTGCTGCAGCGACGGAAAGCACAGCCTTATCATAATTCAGACTCTGCATCAGGTAGACATCAATCCCATAAACCCATAGCAATTAGGCAAAGCACTTGAACGAAGCACCAGCTTGCGCAGCTAGAGCTGAGCCCGCAGGAGTCGCCAAAGGATTGGTATCCGCTGCGGATGCTGAAGCTGCAGGACCAAGCGTCAAGTCACTGCTTCCCAAGAGAACACCATCAGGGTCCTGAAGCAGGGGTTGGGGAGTAGGTCAAGCTTCTTAAATTGTACAGAGTGCAGCAGGCACAAGAACAATTAAGGGTTCAGGAAACAGCTTACCTCCATCTGAGCACCATTCTCAAATTCAATCCGCTGGCCAGTGGTTTGCGAGTTCACCCACGAGTCATCATAGGGGATATCAGCTTCTTCTGCTCCAGTAATTTCACTTATGCGGTGCAGTCCACGGGCTTTCGCCCACAGGAAAGCGTTGTCAGCCATTGTTCTTGGATGGAGTGCAGAAAGCAGGTTTGTTTCTGTCAGGCAGACAATGATGAACACTATATGTTGAAAAGGTTACCCTAGACTTGTTGCCTGGGAACTTGTCATACGAGCGGTTGTCAATGAGCCACTGCTTGGTAACATAGCCTCCCTGCTGCTTCTGCTTGCGCTTGGTTTCAGCCCATTGCTTAACCACCACCTCCACTTTGTCAAACGAGCCGTGTTGAAGAAGTAGTTTGCGGAGCTTCTCTCCTAGGAGGTGGGGCACAGGCACTGGATTAGGTTTGGAGCAGGCGGTTAGGATTGTTCAGGTGACTGAATTGGGCTCTTAAATACATATATGATCGAGTATGATTCAGGCAAGGGGCTACCGTCACTTGTGGCAGCCATGTCGAGCACATCTTTGCTGCACTTTGCTGTGCCCTTCGAGTCGGGAGTCACATAGCGGCGGACCCTGCTGCAAATGCAAACTGACACGCCAAAAAACGATTGCACGGGTTAAGCAATTACAAGAAATTCAAAACCATTGAACCTCCAGTAGCCCTCAAGCTTGGGTTCTGCGGTCTTGGGTGGGGCCAGGGCTCTCGGTGTCAGGGCAGAAGCTGGAACGAAGCCTTTCTTGGCTGGGGACAGGGTGGCTTTCTTGGGCGACGGTGTGGCTTGGCTTTTCTTGGGCGAGGTCTTGGAAGGCTTTGTCTGGATCACTGCACCGTCACCTGTTCCCTTGCCTTTGCCTGCCTTGCTCACGCCTGGCACTGCGCTTGGGTCAGGGGTTGGGGCAGCTGCTTCTTGAGGCTTTTCACTTGAGCAAGGGGCTTCTAGAGGCTTTGGCGGGGGTGTTTCTACTGGCTTTGGCAAAGGTGCTTCTAGAGGCTTTGGGGAGGGTGTTTCTACTGGCTTTGCCAAGGGTGCTTCCACAGGCTCTGGTGAGGGTGCTTCTATTGGCTTTGGCAAGGGTGCTTCCACAGGGTTTGGCGAGGCCGGGTTTGGCAACGTTGCTGCTACAGGCTGTGGCAAACCAGCATCCGTTGGCACAGGCAGTGTCTCTTCTAGGGTGTACGCAGTAGACGGAGAGTATTCTAGAGCGTCCAAAGAAGTCTTTGAGGACTGCGCCAGCATCATTATTGTGTCGCTTCGGTCGATCTTTGGGACTGGAGTCAAGGCTGGGCTTGGAGAACCGGTTGTGGAGGCCGGGGAAGGCCCAGCTCGAACTGGAGGAGGGGTGCTCTCGTGCTCATGCTTCGGCCCACTGCAATCCGCTAAAGATTTCGCCGCATTCCCAGCAACGAAGGCACCGCTGCTTGTTGCCACTGTGGGGGCTCCTATGCAACTCAATCCAATTAAGAAGAGAAAGTAGAGGCATTCATCAATATGCTGCATGTCCTGGAACT